ATAAACTGACACGCACGCGAAGATCAGCACAGTCTTTTAGAAGAGCACTCACGCACACACTCGCACGCACACCAATGATGTCTGGAGAGCTCTTGCCAAAGATCTACGAGAAGTTTTCTCCATGGATTATAGGCGAGCGAAAGAGAGTGGATCGCCTTACAACAGCTGCCGTAATTTCCAGAGAGATCGCCAGGGAATTCATATCGTCGCCGGACACCGAATCGTCTCTCTCTCGATACGCCGAAACGATGCGAGAGATCGCCGAAAAGATGGACGTTCGGCTTGGACTCGAATTGGATGCCGCCGCGGCGGTGATCGACTTCGGAGAAGACGGGTTACCGGGTGTGTTTTCGTGCCTCAACGACATGCTCGAAATCGGAGACGTCAACTGGGGTCGAATCGTCATTGTGTACATGTTCGGTAGGAAAGTGGCAAAGAGATGGGCGGAGAAAGGTCTCGAGGACTACGAAGATACCGTAGCCGAGTACGTCGGCGAATACGTGGCCACGGAATTGTCCGGTTGGATCTCCGAACGTGGAGGATGGGTAAGTGTGATTCAGAGGGCGGCAAACACGTTTTCGAGAACGTCAGTTTTCACCGATCGTATCCCGATGTACGTACAAAAAATAATAATTTAATAATCATCATTTTTCTCTCCACTTCAGGATGACTTCGTAGAAATATTCGGCCGCATACGTCGAAAGTCGCTCTCCGACCTCACCGTTCCGATCCTGCTGGCGGTCATGTTGGCAACTCCGTTCGTTTTGTCTAACTGCAGATGACTCTAATCTCGTTTTGATATCGAATAAAAAGCCGTCGTTTATAACTGTACAAATGTTTAATAAAATCTGTTTCGATATTGAATATTAAATTGTAGTTGACATACCAAACAATGCGTCTTTCGTTTAAATCATTGCTTTGTGTATGTGTGCTTGTGTTGTGATTCTCCGAGTTACAACTGCATCGCGTTTGTTATAGTCGATCGGAAACGGTAAATGAGTAAAGAGACATAAAAATATACGTTTCTTTTCTTTTTTTTTTAATCAAAAACAACTACAACTACAATCGTATGTGTTTAAACAATTACATATATATACAGTTATTCG